TTTTTTTTTTTTTATTAAATATCCTCATTTTTCTAAAAATAAGCAACCAGAGCTTGTCAACATTTTTTAAGGTTGATTGCTACAAAACCAATGCAAAGTTAAATGTACAAACCATAGTACATCAGAGACACAGTAATAAATGTATAATCAAATGTACTATTGATCACAATTTATTTTAAAGTCATGAAAAGCCAGCAACTATCAGGCTGGACAAATACTTGATTGTACCCATGTTTCCATGGGATGTGGACAGCAGCACTGAGAGCACAATGAGAGCAACACTTACTTCCTTTCCATCTTCCTGACAAAATCTGTTAGGTAAGGCAAAGGATGGACAGCTACTGAATCACTTGTGGTTTGAACCATGCAAGAACAACAAATAACAGTAACAGGTGTGCAATAAACATCACATTGCCGAATCTTGGGCTAAAAAGGGCAGGGGGAAAAACCATCACAGAAGGTAATTAGTTGAAAGGCATTTCAACTCAGAAATTTAAAAACAATGCAAGAAATAAGGTTTTTTAAATGTCTTCCTGCCACCTTTAATACAGGGCAGCACAGTCCAAAGGCCATTTTTCTCTTTTTTATAATTTTTTAGGCTGATACACAGAGTGGTCTGCTTCTGCCCTCTTGTTCAACACGAGGGGAAACAAAACCACTTACGTATCTTCCTCTAAAGCTCTGGATTATAGAAATGATCAACAAATAACATTTATTTCACACCTAAGCATAAATAGCTAAAATGATTACTGTTCACTTTCCTCTTCCATTATTTCAACTCGGCGAGGCCCATAGAGTAAAACATAAGCTATATGCCAGTCTCCACCACCAGAAAGTCGCAAGATATCCTCTGGTGTCACAATGCTGACCTTATCATCATCAAATTTAATCCATTCATCTAAAGAACAAGAGTGGAAAATGAAGTTAATATCACACACAAGTTTTTCAGAGTTCCATTTCAAAAAAGGTACCAAGTAATATGTACAGCAGTATTCCATCACCATATCAACAGTTCTCAAAGTACGGTCCAGAAACTACTCAGGTTCAAGACTTCTTTCAGGAGTTCCATGCAAGTTACGACTATTTTTCATAACACTACTAAAGCACTAATTGCCTTTCCCCCCCTCATTCTCTCAAGTGTGCTTTGGAATTTTCCACAGGATACACGATGCGGATAAAGTAACAGATGGAATGCAGAAACAATTAGGAGAATCTAGCTGTCCCCTATTAAGCCAGACAAAGACTTACAAAGATGTAAACCAATGCCATTTCTTGCTAAATTTTTTTGGAGGAAAATACTATTATTTTTTAAACGTTATGTTAATATGTAATAGGTTTATTACTATCAGTTTTAAATGAATTTACTTGTTTTAATTTTTATTACAGTAAATAAGAAATAAAATCCTCATAAGCAAAAGCTCTTTGGAAAAGTCCTCAATAATTAAGAATGTATAGAGGCTCTGAAACAAAAAAGTTTAAGAACCACTGTGCTAAAAACTTTAGACTAAACTGTTAAAATACATGTAATAATTGAAAAAAATAGAATCTTTACCTTGTTTCCTTTTCACCCATGATACATAATGTCCTGATGAGCTAGACCTTCCCTGATGTGTTAGCACTGCTTGTAAATCATAGTATCCACAGTTATTGGAGCCAATGTCTAAAGAAAGATATAAATCCAGTAATATTAAGCAATGAACAGATATGTGATTTCTCAAGCTAAGTAACAAGCAAGAACATCTCAAGTTTAGCCTACAGAAGTACTGGTCTAGTATTAGAATCCAGTAAGATACTACTGTTCAAAGATGTTTTTAAGAAGTATATCCATTCATAGAACTATAAGCTTAAAAGAGTGACTTTTACTGTATGTCATATTAACATACATTATACTTCAAGAAAGCCAACTTTAAAAAAAAAAAGGATTATATCTAAAAAAAATACGTGGCAAGACAGGAATTTTACTTTAAAAAAGGAAAACACACACACACACACACACACACACACACACACACACACACACACACGATACCTCAATTGAAATGAAGATTTCACTTACCATCAGCAAAAGAAAAGGGCTCATACTTAACTTCTTTCTGGGGACTACTCTTTTTGTCAGTCTGAGGAAAAATATATTTAATTTTAAACAGGATATTGGAAATAATATTTGCATCTTCAAAGAGTACAGGTTTCCCCACTATGTAAAATTAGAGCATTCCTATGAAAACTTTCATAAACCAAAAAGGCATAAAGCAAAGAGCATCCCCTGGCTTTCTGAAAATTCGCATTATGCTACTTTGCTTTTAACTGAAAGCAAAACACCTCCATTAGTACAGTAATGACTTTTCTTATAAAGTGAAAATCCTCTTTGGATTTCTTTTGGTTAGCAAAAATAGGTAGTCTTTCATAAAAGCAAAGTAGTATACACAAACTTTCGGAAAGCAGGAGATACCTGTATTCATTTCCACAAATATTTACTGTCTACAGTGCAAAGCACCGAGGCAAACACAAAACATGGTCTGCCTTACAAATTATTAAAATGATATAACTACAGTTAACACAAAACTGGAAACCCAAAGGTCCTCACTTTAACAATATACAATCTTGTATGTATAGTAACAGATCCCCTGATTATAGGACCAACATTAAACCACTAAAGCTAGAGCATATAGTAGTACATCTAAACAGTGCTCTAGGGGTAGAAATGGAAAACCCAATTCTATAATTTTACCAAAATACTACCAAACCACATAAAAAATTGTTTTTGTTGAAAAAACAAAACAAAAAGCTGCCTCAAAAAAAGAGAAGTTGAATTATTGCAATATTAAATGTACAGAGGATGCCAAAAAAATGTATACACATTTTAAGAAAGGAAAACTGTATTAAAATTGTAATAATATATTCTGATAGCAAAAGATGAATACAAGTCACATTTGACTTCTGCAATTACAAGAGGTGCTCAAAGTGGTTACCATCAGCATCCAGACACTTCTGATTACAGCAAACTGCTGGAGCCAACACTGACCAAAGTGTCCACTTATATACATTTTTTTGGCACCCCTGGTATTAAGCCACGGCCACCTGCGATTTCAGCCCAAATAAACTATTTAATTCAGCAAATATTTACCTGTATTAAAAGAGGCATGATTTACTACTTTAGCCAAAGATCTTTAGTGGGAACTCCCTGCATCAACCCATTTCAGTGTTCAGTACAAAAAACAAAAAATTAAACAACTTATCTAGGCATATGGGCACAAAGTTCTTGAAAACTACAATGGTAATGAAGACAATACAAGCAGTTTAAAGACAGCTAGAGTGACANTTTTTTTTATTAAAATTGTGATAAGATTTTGTTACCAAGCAGCATTTGATAAGAGGTCCACTGGTTTTGGTAAACAATAAACATTTTTATAACAGTTGTTGTACAGTTGGCTGGTGCTCCAAGAACAACAGAACACATATTGGTTGGCTCTTGATAACTGACCTCAGGGTTTGGGGGGAAGGAGGGAGCAGGTTGGGAAAAATGGCCAAAATAAAGTGACCTCAAGATCATATTTTTGTTATAAATTAAATGTGTAATGAAGTCAATAAGCAATATTTATGGATATGGTGTTTCCTATAAAATACACTATGCCAAATTAGTTTCCACATGCCATTAGTAGTTACAAAATTTAACTTGCTATTCTGAAAACCCCAGAATATGACTTTCTGAAACCATATGACTGCTCTAGTCTCATTTATGTTTTAAAGCAGAGGATCAGCAAACACTGGTCCGTTCACAACCTGGTTTTATAGTAAAATTTTACTGGCACACAGCCATGCTAATTTAAATATTGTCTATGGCTCCTTTCACACTCCAGCAGCAAAGTTAAGTGGCTGTAACAAAGATGTTATGGGCTGCACATGAAAATGTTCACTATCTGGCCCACTATAGGAAATATTTGTCAACCCACAACTTTAAAAGAAATGGGGTCAAGTCTAAAACCTAGTTCTTTTAGCCTTACAAAAATTATTTAACATCTCAAGTCTTTAAAATAGGGATGCAAACCTCAGGGATTGTAAAGTTCAAATGAGATGTCTGTGAAAGAACCCTATAAACAGCAAAGCACTATGTAGTAATGGCTGAAGACAGTACTATCTACGTTCTCCTGTTCCCACATAAGCATTACCCTTTAGAGGTCTAAGAGTAAGTAATCATTGTTTGTTTTGAATTCTGAAGAGCAGCTACTAAGTGCATCTTACACTATAAATGTTCTTGCTTGGGCTTAACATCACTAGCTATACAGTATACAGCACCGCTCTAATATCAAGAGGGCCTCAGTGCTAGTGGCACAGCATATAAGGCACTCTCAGGAGTCAAGACATTGTCTTGCCTACTCTCAAAAACCTTATATGCAAGGCTGAATTCTAAAATAGCCTTATTAGTTTAAAATAACACCTGGTATAAGTCCAATTTCTTATACTTAAAAAATCTTTGGAATAATGCTTTTTTTGATCAAATAAAATGAAATCAAGTTTTTTATAATGACAATGAAGGAATTACAATTTTAAAACTAATTTCATACATGGCTTAGATACTTTGCTCTAAACCTACCTCACCTGATCTAGTAGCTATAGCATCCTACAAATCAGAAAATCTAAATTTTAATTGCTAAATTTGTCTTCAAAATTGTTCAGACCAAATAAGACAGTGAATAAAAAAAAACAACCTTGCAACGTTACAAGCATCATATCAATATAAAAGAAATATTACAATTCTTATGGTCTCATCCTTCCCCATTCTCTTCTGCACTTTCCCCCAAAACAAACGGAGTACTGATTGCTAATAATTTTCTCTGAAGAAGCTATTTACAAATAAGTTTCCCTGAAATGCTTATTTTATATCCTGTAGTGTTCTCAGATTTAGACCGCACTGTTCAAAATTGAGAGGAAAATGGCCATTATTCTCTTAAGAGCCTGCTAGTTTTTAGTGCTGTGCTCTGCAGAGCATTAAAATAGCATAAGCAAAGATGAGATTTCATAATCCCCAAAACACTATAAATATCTAACTCAAAATCAGACAAATTAGGTAATAATCTATCCTTTCTCTAGCAATCAAGGCCCCTGAAACAAAGATGAGGAACTGACTAATTAGAATATTAGAGAAACCTATCATATTGAAATACCTCATACTCTTGGTATTTCTATCACTAAAAATCACTGATACTAAATTTTGAGATAGATATTAAGATTTTGGGAATTGACGGGAGTGTAAAAAGAAACACTGAGTAAAGGAACAGTTCTTACTGATAACACAGGTTACATTCAGCACCCAAAGAACTCCATTACATTTACAACTTTGTATTTCTTTTTAAACAGAATATAATTGCTAGCACGCAAAGAAGGTAACATTTTTAAATGGATGTTTAACATTAAAACGAACCATATGCAAAAACTGTATAGGATTAAACATATCTGAACTTCAGCCAAGCTCCAACACTCAACAGACAAAAAGACTTGAGGTCAAAAACTGTTAATCCCTTTTTTTTTTTTT